GCAATTGCATCATTTGATGCACTGCCTTCTCGCAAAATATCATTAAGAGGTACCATAGAAAGCAAATTTCTCAATGCAGCTAAGACATAAACTTTAGACTCGGGGAGATCACTGGCTAAAAGAGCAGTAAGTTGGCTTATGGTTGCAGTATCTGATTTATGGATTAAATGGTTCAATGTCTTGGCAGCAATTTCTTTGCCATTGGAGCTCCCATTCTTTAGCAGCCATAATAAAGCAGGAACAGCATCAGCACTCTCAACGCATTCACGTATGTCTTCACTGTGGTTACAGAGATTTCCAAGGATGGTTACAGAGTCTTCCTTAGCTTTGGAAGATCCTGTTTCGAGAATTTGAACAAGCGGAGGAATGCCTCCAGCTGCAGTGATGGCCCATTTACTTTCATCATTCTCATCCGACAGAAGGCAGAGTAAAGCAACGGCACACTCCTGTTGCTGCTCTGATGACAGTCCAAGAAGAGAAATCAGTAGTTGAATCCCTTCGCGGCCTTGAAGGGCATGCCATAATGAACCTTCATTTTTGCAAAGAATGAGAAGGGACCTTATCAATTCATCCTGAACTTCATTAGATGCCATTGTGATAAGACCAATCAACAAGCGTTTTGCGTCAGAATTTGCAAGTTTTCTAGATAGAATAGCATTCCCATACAAACTAGCAAGGGCTTCAATAGTACGCTCTTGCACCAGTAATGGCAACTGAGGCTTAAATTGTTTAACCAGTGTCTGTTCCACCTCCAAAGGGTCTGAGGCTCTTGCATTTTCGGCTTTGATATCATATATCATAAGAGCCGAAGCTAAAGCCCCTAATGTGTCAGAAACCTGGGCAGATGAAGAGCATGATTCAAGGCTCTGACCAAGACTCGATATAACATATGACAAGCCACCTGAAATGTTTGCAAGTGCACACATTGCATTCTCCTGCAAAGCTTGAGCATGTTCGCCCTGCATGAATTCCTTGGAGGGTGCTATAGTAGCATTTATTAGTACAGGAATACCATTCAAGTTTGCTATCTCTCTCCTGGCCTCTTTGGACTGAGCAGAAAGAGATTTAAGAGCCCCTGCAGACTCTGCCCTGACAAACGATTTATTATTGGGTCCCAGTAGTTTAAGCAGTTGCTGTGTGACATCTGAAGCCAAGACTTTAGAGCACACAGATGAATCCTCCATCATAATAGATGCAAGAAGAAAGCACACATTTGCTTGTGTGCTTGATTGTCCAGTGGCTAGCAATTTGACAAGTATATCCACTCCTCCCGCTTGATTCGTTGCAGACCAGAATCCTTCAGTGCTAGTACACAGGTTTTTTAAACTGCCTGTGATCAAGTCATCAACCAAGTTTTCAGCTTTGAGACCCTTCTGTAACTGTTGCCACAACACTGGCACAACTCCTTCAGTTGAAAAGATTTTTGAGCCAACATGGTCCTTAGCACCGCCCTGAGACACAGCATATATAGTCTTTGCTGCTGCAATTTGACCTTCTGTTGAGCTTGACTTGAGGAGACCTAGCAATGGAGGAATACAACCTCCAAGCAGCACTTTTACTCGCAACTCATTTTCTTTACACAAAGAGCCTAAAACAGTGGCTGCCTGCATCTTTACCCCAAATGATCCAGATCGAAGTAGAGAAACGAGCACTGGAACTGCCTGAGAGTGTGACCCAACAGCACTAAAGGCATTATCTCGGGTATTAATAAGCTCCAACAATTGCATCAGCAGTGCCTCTTTTTCTTGCATGGAAGCAGAATTCTTACGCAATTTTTCAATCAACTGAGCAACACTTGCTAAAGTCCCATCTGGATCCTCCATGTTACTGCGGTCTCTGTACATGTTTAACCAACAGAGGTTCTTATAGGTTTAAATACTCATAAAATACTAGGAACATGAGAATGGTACAATTTATTCAGTACGACGATTGCATAATTCTTCTACTACCACAAAAAAGTTGCACAATGTTGATTGCGGAAACCTTTTTTATGGCATGTTTGGTATGGAGAGAAAATATATGGCGGAGAGGAGTATTTATTCCATAAATCTGTATGACTGTATGTAAAGAATGTATTGGGATTGGGAATAAGGAAATAATTTATACTACTTTATTTGGTTGCCGAGAATAAAATTATTAGGAATTCTTATTCCAGTGCTCAATATTGCTTTGGAATGAAATGTGAGTAAGTTGTATAAAGACCAAAACGTACATAGTTCTAGATAATAAAAAAAAGTTGTCAAACAAATTCTGCATGGGCATTTTAAAGCATATTTATTTTTCCCTCCTTATGCAGAAAAAAATACCAACGGGATAACTATTACACACAAGTGTATGGTTTGCTCTTTGGAATAGACAATGAAGATAATAATACATCCCATCAAGTCATCAACCAAACAAGTTGTTAATATCTTTTGTCACAAATTGAGTCTCAGCAAATTAAAACCTGCTAAGTGTTGAGATTACGAAGTGAATGAGAGAAATACTGGAATGAAATCATTCAAGTTATAACTTATAAGGTGTGTGTTTGAGTTTTCATACTACAATGTGGAAACACATATCTTTCACAAAAGCACAGAAATCAAAGTTGAACACACATGTTTCCCAATGCTATTATTTATCATTGTGGGATGTAAACGCATATGCTGTCATCAATTTGGAACACAGTGGTTACTCAATGAAATCCTATTGGTGTATATCATAATCATACAAAGTAAATACATTACAATGCTTTTAGAGCTGAAAGCCTTAAACACCCCAGAAAAATATATACATCTTCCTACTTAAGGAAGGCGAGAAGCACAACCACACGAATAACCAGTCTAGAAACTGGTTATACTCTAAGGCTCTACGAAATGAGAAGATACTCATCAAATAAGAGTGTGAAATTACCTTGAACCCATTAGCATGAGAGAATGCTGAGTTGAGGGTTCCAAACCATGATGTTTACTATCTCCATTTTTTTCCTGAGAGCAGATTCAACAAAAGACTGTGTCATCATGATTCGTGAGAATAACTTGGTGAAGGGAATGAGGATCATACCATACGAAAAATAAAAAACAAATGGCAACAAGGATAAATTTTCTGGGTTTTAAACATATATTTAAAAAAAGATATATTGTGACATCAGTCATGAATACCATAATCTTCCAAAACCATCGGCAATAGTATGCACATAAGAGCATTACATCTGATAGAAATTATGGTTTTGATGCCTCAAAAAAATGCACATGATGATCATTTGTAATGCCTTGATTAGCTTGTCAAAATAGCCAGATTTTTTAATCCGAGATCTAGCAACATAAAGTTTTCCATAGCTCTCATGAAAATAAAATACTAACCTAAAGAAAATAAATTTTACAATGAAGTTGCAGGGCAGATGCAAATGGATTCTCATGTGGCTTCTTGCAAACACATTCGTAGATGCGAAGACAGACATCTATATATAAAAATGCAACTCAATATAAGGCCAGTTACAAAACTGACAGTCTGAGAATGAATTTGAAAGTACTTGCCATAAGAAGCCGAGTAGGGAAATTCTAAAATACATGGCCAGCTGCGTGGATTGGACCAGGGAACAGAGAATGGTAAGCAATCAAAATCCAGATCTCAAATGCAATAATTAAACAGTCCATTCGATAACAGTACAAGATTGATTGAAATGGTACCAGATCGTTACTGGGAAGGCCGCTGCCACTGCTGGCAGCATGCCTCCACGCCACTGTTGCAGCCAGTTTTCCTGTGATCCCAAGATCTCCACTTCAGAATTCAGATCCAGCCTCTAACACACAGTCAAACGCCAGAAGCTAACAGCAGGACGACTATAGAAAAACCATACCCATAACAGAAATGAGAAAAGATTTCAACAAACAATGAAATTCTGACGGCTTAGACTGCAAAGACCAGGCTTTAGAAGTCACCACCAGATCAACACCAAAGATTGCCAAAATGTAAAAATCCAGATTCGGTTTCACACTAAGTAGTTGAATTGGTAGAAAGCTTATGGTGTGAATTGGGCTAGAAACAAGATCTCAAGGAAATGTGGAAGTTATTGAACACATTGCATTCACTGACGAAACAAACGAGACGCATGCATACCTGAGAATAGAGGCTTTTGCAATTGCGTCGGAAAAGAGTTCTAGAGCAGGCGGATCCTGGGAATGAAGAAGATTAAAGGCAAGAAGAAAGAAAAGGCAGGAGTAGAATGTTCCTTGCTCTTCTTCTAGAGGGAGAAACTGATTGGAAGAAGCATGGGGAATGCTCTGAGACTCCGGAGAGAGACAAATAAAGAGAACGATGAGTGATCAGTCCTGACCACCGACAGCCGATCCAGAGAGACGGAATCGTGGCTTCCCGTCTCTAGCATGGCTAGCTGGGCTTTGACTCTGTTTTACCCACCTCAGCCGTGGGCGTGGCTAGTTGGGGATTTAAGATTTCTCTAGCTACTACTATACCCATTTTCATAAAAAAAAATATTTGCACTAAATAGCACTAAAACTTAAATCATTTTTTTAAATATCACTTAAATTGTTTTATTTTCTAAATAGCACTTAATAATATCTATTATGACTGGTGATGGCAAATATTTACTTGAATAATGAATAATGACTAAAAGTGCTACATTAAGAAAAAACATGTGTACTGCTATTTAGGGAAAGTCATTATGTTTGAGTTCTATTTACGTAAATTCCTATTCATAAAATTCTTCCATCAATTTTAGAAGAATCTCTTTTTACTAAAACAAAATGATAAAACAATGATAAAAACAACACTGCTAAATTTCTTATTAATTTATTATTGTACAGAAAAGAAAATGTCGATGAACAAGCTTCCTTTGCTAGTTATAGCCAAAATGTGGGAAAAGGGGGTGCAGCTAGCACTTATGAAATTGAGGCACTAGTTTTGTGTTTGAAATAGGTGTAGTTGAAAACTTCAATTTTGCTGAAAACTCATTCAAAGTATCAATATTTGTTTCATATGTTTGGTCCATGTTTTTTTGGCATTTGATATAGTGGGTGAGAATATTGGACCAGCCCAATATGAGTTAATAGGCCTACTATACCACTTGTGTTGTGAAGCTATGTGGAATCTAAAAATGGATCCAATCTCGAACAACTATGAAATAGGTGGGCGCAGCCCAACCCAAAAGTGGGATGGTCGATCCAATTAAAGGGTGGATTGGCAACCAAGTCAATTAGAGAGTGGGAAGGAGTAGAGTCAATGACATCGTGGGGAGCCCATTCTGTTGGGGAATTTAATAGGGAATGTCTCGAGCAATAGCCACTGATGGTGCATGCGGGGTCACGGGGAAACGTGGAGGCAACTATGCTACATATTGTTGTTGCGCTCGATGGCCCAATGTGAAAATTAGACAAGGTCCTCACATGATTGTTCCCTTTCGTGGTAGATCTAAATGCTCCTAGCCAGGTACTGGAGACACGTCATTAATCATTATTGCTATAGGTAAATGACGTTGGTGATAGGATGGAAGCTATCTAGACTAGGTATGAGGCTCCCGTCACGGCGAGATCATTCTGAGTACGAACATATTAGGAAAGAAAAGTTGTGGTCAATCACACATGAGGAGACAACAAGTTGTACTCAAAACCATGAACCCCGAAACTAACCCCAGCCATGAAATGCAAAGGTCCCAATTGGAGGCATGGATTTGTGAAAGAGTCTTTTTTAAGAGATTTCTACTAAGGAATTAACTTGATTCATATCTGAACGCTGGCACACTCAAAGCGAAGTCTTTGGGATCCCAAAGGTAATCTTAATATGGCACAAAGTCCTCAAAGGGACCACATCTTGAAGCGCTAAGGGGGTCCAAAGACCCAAGGCACCATGGGAGAGTTACAGAAGTACCAGTGCTTGAAGCCATATGCGACCTCTAACATCAGATAGGGTAGATGCAGCGGCACATGGATGCGTTAAGGATAAGACCTTGAAGACTCGTACATCAACTCCATTAATGACGAGGGTGATGAAGTCATTCCAAGGCTTCAAGGTTCCACATATCCAAAGGTATTCCAACGCGAGAACATTTGAGTTGTTACTATGCTAGTAGGGTGGCAGTGGGCGCCGTGAAGGAGTTCAAAATCGAACATTTGTGTATTTTATGTTGTACATACTAAAAGCGTGCACATTATAAAATTAATTAATAAAATTAATGGGGAAAAATTAGTATATGGGCATTTATGAGTTATATAGTACGGAGCATTCATTACACATTTAGATGTAGGTAGAAACAAATACATCGATATAACTTAATTTCAACAAGTGAAAATAAATGGTGACATCTTATTTGCTCTCTTCATCACTATCTGCCAACTTCAAATGATTCATATTTTTCTCGAGTGGTGGAAGTCCATCATCAGAATCGTTAGATGAATTTTCACCATTATCATGAGATTGTGCATCCTCTCCTGAAAAATAAAACAAGTTCATATAGTATTTTCTTATGTTAGAGAGTGACTATCAACTCTAAATAGAGGCCGTCCAATTGGACATTTAATTCAGTACTACTAAGTTCAAAATTATACTACACCACTTCAGTTTAATTCCCTGCCATTTAGATCAGTTCAATACCATTCTGCTCTATCAAATAGTCCCTTAGTAGCCACATTTTCAGTCAATATGGACTGCAGGTGTTTGGGTTTAAGGAATGCAAGATTTTGTTTAAGTAACAGGATTACTGTCTATAGAGGAATCTGATACAAGAATATGGGATTTTAGTGATTCCCTACATTGTTTTCATGTTTTGTTAGCCAAACGTGGTACTACTCATGTTGTCGTGTTGTCAAATTATCAAGGCAAAATTCAAAATATTCTAAAATATTACCAAGGCAATCGTACAATACATAAGAAAATGATGGTCATTTTGTTGTAGTAATAATGGGTTGTTTGAAAATAATGTTTACAATTAGTATGTAGTGGATGTGACTCACGTGAGTAGGGGTAGAGGTAGACCTAGAAAGAGTTGGAAGAATTCATGATCTCAACGAAGATATGAGCTTAGATAGGAACAAAGAAGAGCTAGGATTAGATTGATTGTGTAGACTTTTATACCTTTGTAATTTTTTCTACTGTGTTTTATGCCTTAGTTTGTATCATGTACTTGTGTGCTTTCTGTGTTTTTCTGTGCATAGGGTATAATTGCTAGTGCCGGTATTTGTGCTTCTTGTGCTTGTTCTCTTTATTCATGCTACTGTGTTTACTTCGTCTCAGCTTCTGTGTTTGAATTGGGGGTCTAACAACCTCTCTACTTCCAAGTAGGGTGGGTTTGTTGATGTTGTGGTTGGCTCAGAATATCTTTTCAAACATTAACACTATGTTTGGTTCAAGGAATATGGAAGGAAAAGTAAAGAAAATGGTTTTCTCTCATTTTCCTCACCAAAATGGGAGGAATTTGGTTTTCCCTCCACTTGGTACATTTTGTCTTCTCATTTTCTTTTCCTTCCACTTTTCCTTTCTTTTCCCCTCTAACCAAACAAGAAAAAATATTTTCCACTTCATTTCCTTTTCTTTTCCCATTCAAATTCCTTGAACCAAACATAGTGTAAAGCTAATTCCAACGGACAGTCAAACAGTATATCAGATTACCTAAACCATACCAGATTCCGTTACATTACCTTGCTTACATCAGTTGTGTGATATTGTCACATTTTGCAAACCAAACAGCCCCTTAAGTCTTAACTATAAATTGATATCAACTGAAAAGAATAATGGAGCATTAATTACCATCTGGCTGTTCCAGAGCTTGTGGAACCCGTGAGCTTTCCCTGGAGAGCCATTCATTTTGGGTTGAAATGATATCTGCACTGGTCTTGCATTCGGAGTATGCCTTCAAAAGTTCTCTGCAATGATCAAATTTCACAACAGTCTTACTCAAATGGTTCAAAGAGTGTCTCTTACACCTCATTTCTTCATTCAAAAAATGGAAAACAGTGTAATACGAAGTGGATTTTACCATAAGATAGAAAATATATGGCAAATAATAAATATATATGAGAAACAGGAACTAGATTATGGCACATTCTTGTGGTTTCGAAGTCACGTCAATGAAGTTGTAAAATTACGGAGTATATGAGAAACAGGATTTTCTCTAAAATTCTTTGCACGAAAAGGTGTTGTAGCTCGAAAGCCACATTTCTCAAAGATCTTAAAAGTCACAGCAATCAAATAATGCTTTCAAACTGCAAATACCCAACTTTTGACAAAATTATTGGTTACTATTTAGGTTACTAAACTAGACTTTCATTGCACTCTATATAAAGATATTACCATTACCAAACAACATTTTTCAGAGCACAGATCCACACTAATCATTTAGAGTTCAGCACTCTATAACAATGATACCAAATTTGTTTTATATTGGAAAAATGAAAGAATGCCCTCTCAGCTTGAAAAACAAAGAGTAAGTAGTAATGAAGGGATTTTGTGCACCTTTCAAGATGTTGTTAAATTACTGAAGGAAATTCTTTATACGCAAATTAAACAGAGCAATAACATCACTAGTTGCATACCTCTCACCACTCATTTTTCTTTGTTCTTCTCATATATATTTATCGCCGGTCTAGTATTTTGTATCTATTGCAGAATTCTATAACGTGAAAGATATGAATAAAGCTCCTAAAAGAAAGCACAATACACCTGTTGAGGGACAAGAAAGCATGGCCCCATTTGAACTTGTTCAGCAGTAAATATGCACTTTCCTCTTCCCCACTAAAAGGCATAAAAGAAATGCAAACAAAAGGAATATTTATTGGAAATAAAATAAATCAGTCCAAACTCAATAAATTAACTATAGATATTTGTTCAAACACCTTTCATTTACAAATTTCGATAATAAAAAAAGTTAAAATATAAAATCTGCAAAAGCTCCAGTCAAATTGTTTTCCCCATAATCACATAAATCGCGGTACGCCTCGGTACAGGTACGCGGTACGGGTACGAAATTCGCTAGATGTAACGAATTCGGTACGAAGGGGGGTAGGTTCATTTCGGTACGAAGCGGTACGGTGTACCATGTATTCAGTTCGGTGTACCAAAAGTCAAAACATAAGTAAACAAAAATAGATAAGATGAGCATAAGTGCATAACATTACAAAATCCAATTGAAAAACAAGACATCATCTAAAATATTCTAATCTAGACGCTGCCTTTTTCCTCTCTCATTGTCAAAGCCTTCATCATCAAGGACATTGAAAAAAGAGAGAAAAAATTACTGGATATTGAGGACTTTAGATTGGGTTGTGGTTACTGGTTAGACTTGAGAGACATATATATATATATATATATATATATATATATATATATATATATATATATATATATTTGGAGACTGCCTAGGAAAAAACGAAACATTAAAGGGAGAAGTCAGAGAACAATCGAGAAAGGCACGCAGACTATGAACGACTCGCACGGAACTTGGGGAAGTGCAATCGCGAATTGACCTTTTCAATTTACGGAGAGAACAATTGCTTGGAAGAGGAAAGGTCGCGGCCCGCGGGAGAGACAAAATTGCGATTTGGATCACTGGACCGCCGGCGATTGGTACTCCGTATTCTCCGACTTGGTGCGACGTTCTAGGGCATCTGGATCGCCGGCGAATTGCGAATTGGAACGCCGTACCACACCGATTTGGATCGCCGTACCGATGGCGATCGGTTCGCCGGCGACTTGCGATCCGGTACAATTCGTACCAATTCGGAAATCGCGGCTAGGTAAGCGAATTCTGTAAATATGGTTTTCCATTTGCCTTTTTTTATCACGGTAAACCAAACATTAATAAAACATACGCAAGTTAAGTCCTTAAAATGACCCCTTTATCCCTAAATAAACTTTATCTTCGCTTTTATAGCCCGTAGTTTAAGTAAGTTGAGTTGTATGGTTGAAATTTGTAAAGATTAAACTGAAAACATCAATCGCATATTAATTTCCTTTAAAGGAAAGGTGATCTACGACTACGGATCTACCCCAGTCAGTTATATCGTCAATCTTGTACACTAAGCATTAAAATTAAATAAAGATTTTGGCCCCCCAAACAGAGTCATGTTCACATTTTGTCCATAAAAGAAATAAATTTGATCAAATGAATCTAATTCAAAATCTGCCAAAAAAATGAAGATGTAAGATTCATGATATAAGGCATTTGTACCTTGCCAGAACTTAAAAGTTCCAACTTGGTCATACATGATTTTTTCTGATGCAGATAGTATTACTTTTGCAATAAACAAAAAAGTAGATACCAGATAATTAAACCAGCAGCTAAAGCCTCAACACAAGAGAGCTGACAAGGTCGACCGTAATTTATTGGATTTGCTGCTACCAACCATGGCACTGCAGTTCACATAGGGATTTTAAAGTTAGGAAACTCATGAAAGACCTAAAATTTAAAAAAAAACCTAGTTAGTTTAAGTTGAAGGCCAGGTTAAAGGAGGAAACACATAATAAATTTAAGTACATACAAAGACGAGGTGCAGGGCACCGTAGCTTTGCAAAAGGTACATCATCCAATCGTGCCCATGAACAATCCACAACTACCAACCCCTTTCGTTCAATTAAATCATGATCCTCTCTCGAGATGCAATGTGATCCAGCAGGACTGAAAAACAAACGACACCAATAATTGAATCAACAACAGCCCAATTGAATCCCACAAGCCCAATTGAATCCCACAAGAGTAGGGTCTGGGGAGGGTGTGTACGCAGACCTTACCCCTACTCAAAGGTAGAGAGGCTGTTTCCAAAGAGACCCCCGGCTCAAGCACCACATGTAATCATGTACGCAGTGTGACCTTATGTTTAAAACATAGAGCGGTTGTTTAAAGAGCCATTTTAAAGAAGCACAGATAGTTTAAAGAGTCATTTTGCTTAATTCCAGCATACCACAAAGCCAAAAGAGAGACAAACATCCAAAGTGTGCACACGAGTACAAATGCAGATACTATGACTTGAAGATATGTAACATTGGCGAATGTGCATTACGATTAAAGGAATCAAGGGCATTAAACTAATTTAGTATTTTTGGTGGTGGTGGTGGGGTTGATCAATTGCTGACAGTATGGCTTGATTAAATGAAAGATCATAGCCGGTTTTTTAATATGCAATGTGTGCCTTGATGTGATTTGCATAAAGTAAACCACAAGAAAAGCTCAACTACATAGACACTTTCTATAAAGACCCACATAAAACACCCACTATATTTATGAGCAATCACTTGCAAAATTCAAGATATTATACAAATTATTCACATCAGGAGGTTGACATTCAATTCTTACCTTAAAGCAATGCCACCAAAGGCACTGTTAACCCTCAACTCCTGCAAATACACAATAAAAATTAGACTCTCTTAATAATATGTGTGTCCAAACAAAAGTTTAGACCTAAATATAGCTACATAAAAGAATGTACGAAATTCAATTGTTTCATGGGAATTGCTCGCTACTGGCAATAGTAAACCGGATTTGGAACATTTAACAGCAATGCATCAAAAGAAGATACTTTCTTTCAACAAACCAAATCGTGCAAGCTTGCGTCCAGTGCATCTTTTTGCGTCGCACTGACCAAAATCCTGGACCAAACGATACACTAAGCTAAATTAGGAATCAAATGTATGCATGCCACACATTGTTGGATCAGGTAATTAGTAGTCATTTCTTGTGTGATAGTTAATGATATTTTTTGGCATTTTGAACATGGAATGAACTGGAAATAGTGTTGAATAATTCATACAAATTTCAAGCTTTCTAAGGGCAGAAACCTCATTGATGCGACATAAAAGCCTCACATAAAATCACATCAAAGGTGTTCAATGAATAGCATTCTGATCAAAGCTGTGTTATTTTTTTAGCATTTTGACAAAATTGTCATTTTTACTTGCCAAAATGCTACATGAGGTGTTTTGTAAATGACCATTTTACAACATTTTCATGTTGTCTTCACTCTTCTGGGTTATAGTAGTTTTTAGCATTATGCTAACTTACAAAACATTTTATACAACTCGTTAAGTGCAAGTCAAACTTGCTAAACAAAACTGCTAAAATGCTACTAACTCAGAAACCTCTGTGGTTTTGACTTTTTCCAGTCATAATTGATAAAATTTGACCATTTATTAAATAAAATGTATATTAGATATTAATACAGGAATAATTTTATTAGTTTTATCTTATAATCCGTAATATATTTTCAAAATATTACTTTATCTAACTAAAAGCATGTAATTTTTATTTAATTATGAGTCAAAGGTTAATCTGGGTGGACTAAAAAATATCAAAACTGGACAAATACAATGAGATGTAGGGAGTAATTGATATCTATTATTTGGAGTGAGTGACTTACCCTCTTGATTGTATTTGAGATGTTTGATGCATAAGTAATGCAAAGTTCTTTTCGAACAAAAAATGGCTAAATGCTATTTGCCAAACACACCCACCCATCATGTGAAATGTCACATAAACTACAAAGCCAAAGCATAAGTGGCATACCCACATAGCAAGATGAACACTAGGGCGTGGTTTTTCATCGTCTTCGCTTGAACCAACGGGTAGTGACTCTTCATTACTGGAAAAAAAGGGTAGAAAGCAGACAGCTTAGCAAGATCCATATCCGGAAAAGACAGTAATATGGCACAGTGAAATAAAATACATGGCGGGATTGATGAACCTGAGCGGATAATTTGGTTCATAAGGGCGGCTGGATTGCCCGCGATGGTTCTTGAATCGCCTCTGCTTGCTGTTACCCATTCTCCGTCAGCTCAGCATGCACGACTTTAGAAGGTTTCGTTGCAATTAACTCCGCGAGGGTAATGAATAAACCAACAAAAAAATTCAAGCATTTCAATGTAATAAATAATCCTAACATCTGAAGAAGAAGAAGACAGCCGACAAACACATACTTAACTGAAACGTCAAAAAACGATATGAATAGTGGTGTTCCATACAAATCTTAGCAAAAATAGGGCAAACAAAAGATCGTTCGAGTAGCGTTTCGGAATTGGAATTCCGACCATCTAAAAGAATTCATTCATTAATGATAAGCAAGCTCGACTACTGGTAAATGCATTTCATAACGGGACAACCGGACAACTGAAACAAACACATTTTTGATCGAGATCATTCCATGCGATTCGAAGTTGAAGCATCGAAGGCAGAAAGTTTGAGCGTAGGAGAGATACCTGAGGATGGATTTAAGGAAGAACGGCGAAGGAGGCTGCCGGAGCCGAAGGGAAAGAGAAAGGTTGTAAATTCTTGAAAGGGGCTTACCCTCGTAGGTATTTGGGCTCTACTCCAGGCTTAGAATGCCAAGCTCCGCCCATTATTCTTCTTTTGTTTGGTACTATATTTCTATGTGTGCCATGCACGAGTTGATACGAATTTTTTTTATTCTACAGGATCATGATTTTTATCTGGATATTTATTAAACATCAAATATAAATGATTTAGGTTTTATGTATTTCTACAAATCTATAATTTTTCTCCTTGTATAAATTCAAAAATATATTAATACAAAAAGTATTAGTGATCCAATGATTCTTTTTCCTCACATTAATTTAAAAAATTAAAATTACCGACCTTATAATTGTATAATAAAAAATAGTATTCTTCTCATGCAAAATCCCAACTACCCCCGACGCAATGATTAATTTAAAATGTTAAGATTCAATTATTCTTCTCCCCTACATTTATTTTAAAAAACATTAAAAAGTTAGTACTCCAATGATTTTTGGGGTAGTATTTTCGTCAAGATATGAAATGTTCTATCAAAATACAAATAGTTACAAATTAGAAATTGTATTTTCTTTGATGTGGTTGTAACCTGTAACTTAGTCTCGAACTTATTAGCTATTTTACTTTGGATTTTTTGCACAATTTTTCTTACATTTTTTTATTATCATAGATCTTCATATTTACAAATCCCCTCACGCTCCCCTCCACACCTTGATTTTCTTGTCACAATCATCTTTGCTTAAATATGTAATGTCGCATAAAATATCATCCTATTAAGTTTTCATGTATAATTGTGTAAATGAAAATGTAGGAAGTAAGTCATCTCTCATTCAAAAAATTTTAATTTTATGTATAAACATTTTTAATTGTAACACAATATAAGTATGTATTGTGTAAATCGTAACTTACAATATAAAGTTATTTTGATTAAAATAGTAAATCAAGTTACCAAGATAATGTATAAAAGCCTTATTACGTCTCTTTTCTAATTTGTTTATTTTAAAAATTCAATATTTTAAAAATAGTCAAATTGTATGAAAATACTTTAATTTCATATTAGAATTAGTCATTTTATCATAAACAAAGGTTCCAGGTAAGATATGCATTGAGTCAATCTCTTGATATACGTATTATCAATTTCTCTTAAAGTAAATTACATAATCATGACATGTATAATTCTCTTAAAAAAATATATAATCTTAAGCCTTTAAGTCACCTAATCATTAATTTTTTTGAGTAATCTCAAAATAGTATTTTCAAATAAGGTATTTTCCTAAATCAATGTTATTAAGCATTAATTATCGATGTAGTACTTTATAGATGAGATTTATCTACTCAGTGTCCTCCGTATAAAATGTTTGTTAAATGAATCTTTGGTGGAGGACATTTAGGTATTTTCAACATTTAAATGTAGAGTAATTTTTCAAAATGACCCTTTCGAATTAACCTTTTTCCAACTTAGGTCTCCGTGATAATAATTATAATTTTATCCCAATTGTGCATTTAGCGGCACCCCAATGTTTTGTGTCTCTCTATTAGCCACTCATGTTCACGCTGGTAAGTTTCGAATGAAGATGACCTCGCCTCCGATCCCCACTTCATATCTATGTACAATTTTGATAAAATTCACGTCTGAAAAATACGTGATTTGTTTTTTTAAATATTGTTTTGTTGTATATATCCATGCAAATACTTTCTGTGCTTTTTAAAAAGTAGTAGTCGTAACTTCAATAAAGTCAAAAGTGAAATACCTATGATTATTTTAAAATGTTTTTATAATTTTTCTTTGTGGAAACCTTTGCAACTATATTTGTTTTTGCTGTTTAAAAATAAATTCATATTAAGCGGAAAAATTTTTGGATGTAAAATACATGTAATTATATTATGTAATTAAAATTTTATGTAAAAAAATGTAACTATATTTCTTTTCTTACTTGTTTTGAAAATAGATACACTTGACAATTTAAGCAAAACTCGACTATAAAATAAATGTGATTGTTTTTAATTTTTTCAAATATAAGTTCTGTGAAATATATCAAATGCGACTATAAATTTTTTATTTTTGGAAAATAAATTTATTTGATTTTTAGGAATTTTTTTATAAATATATTTTTTATGAAATTATTTGAAATTTTACAAATTGAAATATAAAGATTTTTAAAAGTTTTTTACTAATATATTTTATGAAATCTCATGGGTTAAACGTTTTATTCAAAAAAAAATGAACATGGGATTAACAGATGGAGCTACTAATCCTTAATATAAAACCTAGAAAAATAAAATTTAAATTTCACTGATTATTTTAGAAGCTGGTTTTAAAAATTTTAAACTTTTATTTTATTTATTTTAGAAGCTGATTTTATAAAATTTTTAATAAAAAATATGAATTTTAGTTCTCACTCAATTAGAAAAAATTTCATGTAGGTCCTAATTTCTTCCATAATACTCCCTCTGTGTTTAGATTTAATCTTCTCAATTGACTTTTTTGGTCAATTTTATATACTTTAACCTTGAAGTTATTACCAATAACTTCTTTTTAAAACTAAAGAATCTTTTTATGTTTGGTAGCTCTTATTTTGGAGATAAAAAATATGCATTTTTATTTTGTTATTTTCTCCATATTTATCCCTATTCTTGTACGGAATATGTTTTCCACAAAATTATAGCGAGACTTTGTAAATAAGATATATACTCCGTATACAATTTAAATTGGATCTACCCATATTTTTATTAAAATTGCCACGTCATTCAAGTCGTTAATAGGTGGCGGGTGATTTGTTAAAATATTGCCATTTAGACTCACCACTTGTCGCAATTCTAGGAGTTTAACTCTCAAATTTAATACGGAGTATATAAAGATTAGAATATTTCAAAAAATAATGCCACATAGATATTATAACGCCCCAAAACATACCCTAGAATTATTAATGAATAATTATTCAACTAATCAAATTTGTTTTGATTAAAATAAATTATTGTTGGGCTTTGGGCTGATACAAAATGTGTTTTGATATCCAATATCACAATCTGAATAAATCTCTTTGAGATAAATCCAATATGTTGACTAATTGTGTGTTCTTGATTGGGAACCTGAGTACAGACCCAAACCAAAAATAAATAAAGAAATTATTTGTAATATGAACTTTGAATTGATTTATGGAAATAAATCATGAAAACAAATGATATGAATTAAATATGAGAACTTTTTTAAATAAAGGTCAAATAAACTAATTTTTGACTCTGTCAAAGTCAAACACCAAAAAATGTGATGTTGGAAAAAGTATGACAAATAAATATAAAAATTATATAGTTGGATAGAGTTTAACTGTCCGATCGCAATTGTGTAAACGAAATTCAATTCAGAGAAAGTTAGACCAAAAAGTGTACCCAACTGGGACCAAAATTAGTCCTAATCAGGGTGGCGTGTAAAATCCTACAAATCGCCGCTGAATCCACGATCGTGAATTGTCACTGACTCAGCATGAATGGCAGCTTCTTCTTCTCCCTGCCTATATAAGAACTTCCTCCTCTCCCCATTTCTTCAGCAATCTTCCAAATATTAATACCATTGTGTTTATAAGAGTGAGGAGAGCAGTCTCGCATTGTTGGTTGCCACCGAAGTCGCCGGAGTTGGGAGTTATCATCGCCGGAAGTTTCGCTGGAAAATTCTCAAAACCTTCGATAAGTTTCGAGGTAAGCCCGTAGATATATCTAGTGACTAGAATGTTCGTATAGATCGTTTCTACGTTCATAAACGGTCGTTTGGTTAAGTTTTGTGTTTGACATGCTTGAAGAACCAAGAATCATAAACCATTAAATTGATGTTAAAACTATGAATTAATGATTCCAAAATGATTTATGAACCTTGGAGAACATCTCTATATAGTTTCGTTGAAGTTCGATAACTAAAAACGATATTTCCGAAATTGGACCCGAACGAAGAAGAAGATGAACAGTGGCTGAAACACCACTGTCTGGATCGATCCCCTGGGAGTGATTTTTCATTGTTTGGATCGATCCCCCGAAGTTCTGATCCGAAAATTTGTATGAAAATGCTATTTTTGAGTTCTAAAATCCTATTTTTTATACCAATTGATTATGATCATTATAAAAATGATTTACCACAATAAAAATGATGTTTTTAACAAATAAAAATGTTATGTGATGCATGACGGTAAGTTCGGGTGTTAACACTCGAAGCTAGGCCGTTAATTCTTGTTGAATATTATGTTGATTGATGATTATGGTAATAATTATTGGTTGATGATTATGATGATTAAATCTTGATAATTGTTCTGATTAAAAATGGAAATTATGAATGATTAAATCATAATGAATATATTGATGATTGTGAAAATAATATGTGTTGTTAAGGGTATCTAGAAGACCTCTAAGATATACACATATTAATGTTGATTTGAAAGATATCTAGAAGAACTCTAAGATATAACTATATAATTTAGGCCTTGCGGGTATGATGCCCGGTGGCTAGGGTTAAAAGGTACGTACGGTATCCAAGAACCAAACTTGAGTACCTACTCGTTTGGGGGTACCACCCACCCAACAGTGAACACTACGCTGTCGATTTTTGGTTGGCCTTAAGTGAAAGTAAGTTTAAGATTTCCAAAACCCTTTTATCTTAAACTAGGCCTAGCTTAAGGATTATTAGGAGTACTCTGTATACTGGAATATAGTTTAATTAGTTAAACTAGAATTCATTTAAGGATTACAAATATTAAAATGATTGGCCTTAGACTAAGAATAATTTAAGGATATTGTTGAATAACAAATGAAGAACATACATGTTGAACGATTGAATAATGAATGTTGAAAATTGAATATTGATTATTGAATATCTGAACTGAACATTATGTGCATAATATCAAATGATTTGATTGTGAATTGAGATACAATTTATATGGATGTTCGACGCATTAGATATGCTTACTCAGCTTTATCGCTGAGCGTGTAGTATGTTTTATTTGCTACACGCAGGTTAATAGAAAGAATGATGTGACGTGATCCTAGAGGCGGACGGAGGCGAGACTGTCGGAATGGATGTGATGTTTTGAATTAAAGAACATAAATAAATTATGTTTGTAATTATGATTGGTTAAGCTTCCGCAATATTGAAAACTCCGTACTGTTTATGATATGAAAAAATATTATTATGATAAATAAAATTGTTTGAAAAGTTTTTAATTTTACAATTACCAAGTTAATACTTTAGTCCGAAAGGGCCTGCAGACCTGGACGGATTAGGGTGTTACAGATATCACCACGTGTAAATTTTTTAAAGAGTTACTTGTCGTTTTTTAGAGAGCCACATGTCAAATTTTTAGAATAAGGAGTCTCAAATATATATATATATAATATAATATATATATATATATATATATATATATATATATATATATATATATATATATATAGAGAGAGAGAGAGAGAGAGAGAGGATAAAGGATAAATGATTAAATTTACTCAATGATGGTGAAATTGTAAAGAATGCTCATGTAAACATTATAAGTGACAGTGATACATAATTAAAAGTATCATAGTGCGTAAAAAATAATTAAAAATAATCTCATTTCAAGAGAAATCATAAATAATAAATCATCTAAGAACTATAAAGCATAAATTATCGAGTAATTGAATGAAATCATAAAATTCATATTCTCAAACTATCAAATTATATACTATAGAACTTTGTTTTACTTTAACATTTTTATAGCTCAGTCATCTCTTATTTTATACTCCGGTATTATTCTATTACAGTTTTTAAAAAAAGAAATAACCTAAAAGATGAGTAAAACATAACTCTTATCTTCCAAAGTAGATGGGACATGTTTCTATGATCAAAATAGAATTTTCCATGCATGGGATTGAATGAAATTTTAATTGATTCTGTCAATTATCTTCAATGTAATATTTTTAAATGAGTTTATGAAAGTATATGTAATGCGTTCTTTAGATTACATGAAATGAATTATTGGAATAAACCACAAGAATAAATTAAATATAAGAACCTTTTTGAATAATTTAATTTTAGAGATCTTCTAGATATTCTTACAATCGTTTCATAATCATCAATAAAATAATCGATTATTCATCGTCTTCTACCTCGAGTCAACTTACGAAAAGCTCATTTTAAGTTCCCAAACTTTAATTAAAGTATACAAAAGTGAACATTCTAGTCATTAGATATATCTACGGGCTTACCTCGAAGCTTGACATATATTAATACATAGTTTCATATCACAACAATATCTTCATCTATTCTTGATTTGGGTATATACTCTGGTTCCCAATCAAGGTGACACAATAAGTCAATCAGGTTGGATTTATCTCTATGAGTTTTATCCCAATTATGTTTATTGGATATCAACATATATTTTATTCCGGCCCAATTTTATATTTAATCAAAACAAATTTGATTAATCGAATAATTATTTATTAATAATTCTAGGGTTCGTTTTGGGACGTTACATGTAGTGTGTTATGATTCACAATACTTAATTACACTTTCTAGCAGTGTGTTAAGCCCATGGTTTGGAAGTGTATACCAATATAAACACATTTTTTGGCAGTGTGGAATGATCATGCTTTGCCTATTTGGATACATGTTATATTGGGTATGACGACATTGTGTTATGCCCATGTTCTAGAAGTGTATACCAACTTAAACCCAATTTTTTGCAGTGTGAAATGCTAGGACAAATTTAGAATTGTATCTGCACGAGTTTCAATATCACAAAGCAGTGATATACTGAGTATTTTAAGCATATATTAGTGTTATGACGTTACTTCTCCCAATTTATAATATACCACCTCAAACACAGATAAAGATGAATTCTTTTTTTATCCAAAGTTATAATTTTCTTATATTTTCATTTGGAATATCATTTAATTGAGTGCCTTTTAATACTTTAAACTTTCTAATATTTCTAACTCGTTTCAATTTTTTCCAAGTCATTCTAATTTCTTCCAACATCTTAAAATACCAAACAAAAGAAGAGTGCCCAAGCAACATTCTATTGGTTATTGCCACATTTTGTAAACTAACGGCGTAATAATGGGCCGAGCTTCACATTCTACACCTGGAGTAGAGCCCAAACTCCAACTGGTCTGACGCCTACCTACGAGGGTAAGCCCCTTTCAAGAATTCACAACCGTTCTCTTTCCCTTCGGCTCCGGCAGCCTCCTTCGCCCTTCTTCCGTAAATCCATCCTCGGGTATCTCTCCTTTTTACGCTCAAACTTTCTGCCTTCGATGCTTCAACTTCGAATCGCATGGAATGATCTCGATCAAAAATGTGTTTGTTTCAGTTGTCCCTAAGCCTATAAATGGATAGTCGAAAATCTGATTACCGTCCGCATCCGTATCCGTTTAAAAAGAAAAAATCCGCATCCGTTTTAAACGGATATTATCCGCATCCGATCCGGGATAACCGATTACTAAACGGATGCGGATTTGATATTTACGAATCCGATCTGTTTAAAATCTGATCCGCATGGACATCCGTTTCAATAACCGTTACCGTTTATCCGAATAACCGTTTATCTGAATACAAAATTAAAATAAATATAATAAATAAAATCTTGTTATATACTCCGTAGATCCAATAAAGTTGGGCTATTGGCCCAATATGAATATATGACAAATCTAACCCTACCCCGTCCATTCAATCAACCCGTAGGAAAAGAAATCTCTAAATCTCGCAACGTCCGACCGTCTCCCTCGGCGAATCTCAAAGCAGATTTCTGCCTTTCTCGTTGTTCTTGACGAGCCATACGGCGGAACGCCATCTCCGACGTGCGACGGCCTCTACGCCGAAGTTTTGTCTGAGGTATGCCTCCAAGCTCCTGCAATTCGCTTTAGTCCATCCGGTTGAATTAGAATTTCTCACATTTACACCTAAATGCAGAGATAATCAGCAATTTCGATTTTCGAATATGATTGATCTGTGTAAACTTTAAAAAAAGTTGCTACAAATTGGTAAGAAAGTACTTGATTATAGACATACACAAATTCCAGTGTTCATCCTTCCGGATTATAGCCAACCGGATGAAATTCTTCCGGATTTTTCCGGAAATGTAGCCGAGAAAAAACGACGATCGATGAGAAAGAAAGTCAAGAGCAAATCTGTAGTTTTACTTTTGTCAATTTTTATTTTGCTTTGGCATTTGTAAAGGAAATCACACTATTCTTAATTGGTGTTAATGGTGTTTCCCCTTTCCCCACTTGGATGTTCTTACGACCTGTACCATGTGGTTTGTATTCATGTACTGTATTGGATTTTCGGATTTGTGTAAAGGGATAATTGGATATTCGGATTTTAGGAAATTCGGATACTTAAACGGATGTTCGGTCGGATACGGATATATCCGAATCCAAAAATAATCCGTTGGTTTCGGATTCGGATTTGAGAGTTAAAACATCCGTCGGATTCGGATGCGGATTCGGATGTTGTTCCGGCTAAACGGATGCGGATACGGATGTTGTATATCCGAGGCGGATTTTATCCGTTTACAGCTCTAGTTGTCCTGTTATGAAATGCATTTACCAGTAGTCGAGCTTGCTTATCATTAATGAATGAATTCTTAGATGGTCGGAATTCCAATTCTGAAACGCTACTCGAACGATCTTTTGTTTGCCCTATTTTTGCTAAGATTTGTATGGAACACCACTATTCATATCGTTTTTTGACGTTTCAGTTAAGTATGTGTTTGTCGGCTGTCTTCTTCTTCTTCAGATGTTTGGATTATTTATTACATTGAAATGCTTGATTTTTTTGTTGGTTTATTCATTACATTTAATAATTCTGCAATTTCTTGTCAGATTTTCTTTATTGTGTAGGCATAAGGACATTTCAAGCACATTGGTAGTGCAGATTACTCTGTAAATCCTATGAGAACAAATTTATTTCAATTTATGAAGAGACATGAGCTGTTTTCACCCCTCCATTCTTTGGAGAACTTCAAAATAGTTGTTGGCAATTGCTATACGGTAGTTAGTCTTTCGCACTAAACTGCTCAAACCCACCGCCCACTACACTTTAAAAGAAAACAACAAAAACTAAAAGTAAAAGCAAGTTATAAAAAATGACATACTTTTATTGTAGCTCTCAAGTACTTTATTCAGTCTTTGGCGTGAAAACTGTCAAAGAAAACTGCATTATAATATATTAATTAATTTCCCTAAACATAGCTTCCATATAACGTCTTAATATTTGGCTCTGTTCAAAGGAACTAAATGTACAATGTACTCCAGTTTCTTGCTTAACAAAAGGATTCATAGATATGTTTGTTGACTATTCTCCCTTAGAGTTACATACTAATTTGGTTATACTTTCCTTGGGAAGCGTTTGGTGTATAATAGCTGCGCTATCTCATATTCACACATGTGCTTATTTTATTAATCTTTAACCCCTGACTTCTCGTGTTAGATGATTGTTATGATTGGGACTAGATTAATTGAAGTATAATACTGTAGGACATGAATCATTTTCTGTTTTCAATGGTGTGGTACTTGGTCTCTTGGAAACAACCTCTCTTTGCCCCGCGTAGGAGTAAGATTTGTGTACACTCACATTTTCTAGATACCACTCTATGGGGTCTTTTTGAATTTGTTGTTCTTGCTATTGTTTCTTCATGTTATGCTACCCTGTTCACAAGAATTTGGAGGCAAGAAGGGTGATAACATTAATTTATCCTCTCACATCAATTCTTTAATTTAAAATAGAGTTGTTACTCACGGAAGATAAACATTTATTTTGATTTTTTTGCCAACTATGCTATCCTACCACTTGCAAATGCACTAAACCTGTTCTATGCTACTTCACAATTTTTTTAATTCTCTGCATTATCTCAACAGCTTTTTTTGGTTTTGCTAGTTTCAGGATGTCTGACTTCATTCTTGTCTGTATAGGGTCTAACTTAGAGCTTTAGCTTCTGGGTTTGAACAAACCAATGTCGTCTCCGTTTCCTATTTTGGACAATAAACCAATTGATCAGTGGAAAGTCACTGAGCTAAAGGAAGAGCTTAAGAGGCGCAAGTTAATAACAAAAGGGTTGAAGGAGGAATTGGTGAAGCGGTTGGATGAAGCAATTCGCAGTGAACAAGAAAGCACACAAGGAAATACTGGTGATGGTTTTGAGTCTGCACATGATATTTCAGTTGGACCTGGTCAAGAAAGGACTGATTTATCTGATGCTAACAAGGAGGACACTTCCATTGCTTATGATTCTATAGGTAAACTTGAAAGTGGAGCGTGTCATGATGAAGTTAATCGGGCGGATTCATTTGACGTTTACAAGGAGAATGATACTTCCATCCATTGTGATTCCATAGGAGATAATAGGGAAAGTGAAGTGCGTAAAGTTAATGACAAGGATAAGGATGCTTCCATCACTTGTGATGTTGATTCCAGTGTTGAATCTGACAAGGATAAGGATGCTTCCATCACTTGTGTTCTAGCAGATGATAAACAGGAAAATGAACTGTGTGAAGTTGCTGTTGATGGAAATCGAACATCATCTATCCCTGCACGCGAGGAGGATGTCTCTATCTCTTGTGATCTGATAGATGGTAAAATAGAAATTGAAGACTGTAAAGTTGATGTGACTGGCAGCAGAAAGTCATTTCATGAGGAGTGTGGTTCTACAGCTGATTATGGACAAGAAAAGACCCAGTTATCTGATGCTAATAAGGAGGGGGCTTCAGTATGCGATAAAATGGAAAGTGAAGGGTGTGAGGTTGGTGTTACTGAGTCAATGGTTGTATCTGGACATGAAAGGAGTCAATTAATGGATGCGAATAAGCTAAAGGATGCTTCTGTTGCTTGTGATTCCATAAATGAAAAAGTAGAAAGTGAAACGTGTGACATTAATTCTAGTAACAACATGATTCGATCTGATGCTGGTAAAGTTGTTGAAGGAGAAACATTTCATTCGATTGGTGTTGTAGGACCGCTTAATAGTTTGGAAACCAATGTTGTGGTTGGTGAGGCTGTTGATCCTGTAATGGCTTTGGATGGCCTTGATTTGGAAAATCAGGGAACCCAAAGTGAACAGAATTCAAAAGCGGAACTCGAAATTCCAAGTTCAAGGTCTCCCGATGTGGATGCTAAAATTGAAGTATCTGAGGTATGCCCTGTTTCGGAGTCTTATGTAAACACTGATTCTGCTAGTATTGATATCACAATTAGTGGAAAGGTAGAAACAATGAATAATGTATTTAGTGATGTCAAACTAGAAGTGGATGCTAAACCTGTGGTCGTGCATCTACCATCTAGCAGTATTATTCCTGACAGTGAATCCTGTCCCATGGATGTTGAAGAGGCACAAGACAACAATTTATCTGTCGTGCAAGGTGGTGCTGATAAGATAAAATATCTTAAAGATTCAGGACATTCTGTAATGTTGCATTTAGGGCAAAAGGTTGGTGATGATCCCATTGAAGAAAATATGTCTGAGAACAAACATGTTGATGCTAAGTTGGGCACTGAGAAAAAAGTAGACAGTGCAGAAACGACAAGTGGAAAGATGTTAAGTCCTGATGTTGTGAAGAATCATATAGATGCACATGGGAAGGTTGCCCCTATTGAAACCAGAAGTGAAGAAGCTGTGCAATCTGCAAAAAGGAAAACCCATGGTAATTGATATCCTAATTCTATCCTGTTATTTGTTTGGTAATTTATGGGGATATGTTTTCTTGCATTTTTTTCATATATCTGTCATTTTGTTATGATTATATATACTAAACTAGTTTCTGCTGTTTTAGTGCATTTGGAAAAGTTAAGAAATATTTACTGGCTTTACTTTCCACTTTCCACACGTTCGGAAGCAAGAAGTTTGGTCTCTTTTTGCTTTTGGTTATGTATTATGCACCCTGTGCTTCTGAAGTTCCTTCAAGCCATCTTTGTTTCTGGTTGAGTCATATGTTTTATATCTTAGGTCCTTGTTTTGTACATTTTTTTTTGAGCTTATTTGCCCCAATGTTTTGCTAGTGTGCCAAATGCTAAATATTTAAAATGGATTTTTGAGTTCTAGATAAACATATATGCTGGAAAGCCTTCTTTTTCAAAAAGCTCTAAAGTTGTTTCAAAGTACCAATGAGTTCCCAGTACCATAGTGTTTTATTAATATTAATCATCTACCTGAAATTTCATCAATTTGTTACTCTTACTTTAAAAAATACTACCATTAGATGTTATGGAAAATTGTGAACTCAATTTGAATATTTTATTTAAGTGTTCTGATGTGGTACTTCCACAACATACTCCATCTGTTCCGAAACTTTCTTCTCATGTTGACTTGGAACTCTTATTCAGAAAATGAAATTCTGTTGATATTTATTTTGAAAGCTTAAAAACAATATTATCCGCAGAAATCATCCTTCAAGAGAAATAAGAACATTGAAACAACCCAGAAAGGATGTTGAGAAGAAAATATTAGGACTGATGAAGTACTCTGTGATATTTTGGCATGCCACATTTTCTTTGTTTTAGAAATATAAATACCTTTTAAAAGGAAGGTGAGCCTCATTTTCCTCTTTTTCTTTATTTGGCTCCCTTGAGTGCAAGAATATCTTCTCATTTTCATCTGAGCAGAGTTATATATCCTAGGTTGAGACAAAGATGACACATTGTGCTTATGAATAGATCTTTAGATCCATGAATAAAGCTCAGTTTCTCTCTGAAAAAGGAAATGAAAATGGATTGAGAATGAAACTCATCTAGTCCCGAAGTGCTAATTGCACAATATCTCCTTCCAACTCCACCTTCAGCCCCTCTAACTTGAATTGGGTTCCCCCCAGATTATTAAGTGCATTTGGAAGTGCTGATAGTGATGGGTGCACAACCCAATCTGTGGAATGCAAGACCGATGCAATAATTAACAAGCCTCTGTCTGATTTATCCTTTTTTATTTATTTAGAAAAACCAGTTCAACACGGCACATCAAAATTTTATGACATTGGTGTTCTACACCATCAGATATAGAGAGACAATAAACTAATATGCTGTGCACACTTATACCTTATTTGCGTCGTTGTTCAGAGCCCATGGATCAAACTGATCAAAATTTGAGTAGAAAGAAGTTAAGAGATTAAATTAAACACAGTACCTTGTTGGTGCTTAATCTAAGTCATTACTTTGAAGAAAAACTTATTCAAGGAGCTCCTGCTGAGCTTAATATGCATTTGGTGTTAGAACATGATAGAGATCAAAATGCAAGTGCAAACAGATTTGCAGCTTTTCCATACAGAAAAGCCATGTTTTCACTAGAATTCTGACTGTTCAAACCGATAATAGTGTTCTTGAAAACATAGTCGTACTGAAAATGTTGTGCAGACATTATTGTCAAATTCAAATTCCTTGTCTACTCCACCACATACCAACCAATTGTTGAGAAGTGAGTTTTTTGAATGTGTTGAATAAAGGTATTATTCTCCTTTGTCTAAATGTGAAGTAATTTAATGGTGCAGCAGGTGATGAAGCAGTGGCGAGCAAAGTCTCTGTGAAGAGGCAACGTAGGTGGAATTCAGAAAGTATTGAAAGCACACAAAATCAAAGTGGAACTAGCGTTGCATCTACCACACCCAAAAGTGCAACTCAAGCTACTTTCAAACGCAGTTTGTCTATGCCTAATTCGGTGGCTAGTGAAGAGCCATCAAAGGAACGTGTGGGTAAGTTGCCTTTTGTATTTTGCACTATATAAACCTTTTCTTGACGCTGTGCAACTTTTTAGCATTCAACTCTGTTGCTTCGTTGCTTATGGCAGTTCCACCATCACCAAAGCCTGCTACAAATTCTCTCAGAATTGATCGTTTTGTGCGTCCTTTTACATTGAAAGCTGTTCAAGACCTACTTGGGAAAACTGGTACAGCAACAAGTTTCTGGATGGACAACATAAAAACCCACTGTTATGTGTCGGTAAGCCTCTCCATTTCTTCAGTTTTCTGTAATGCAATATGTTCCCTGTCAAAATAAGACTTACATTAGGAAATGCCCCAAAAAAGAGTGGCATACGTATGATAAATTTGGTTAAACCAACATTTTTTAAAGAAATGCATTTATCATTCATGATAAATGGTAGTTGTTCCTGATACTTTTTATTGATTACATGAGCAGTGGATTCAAAATTATGATGAATCTGCCGTGTTGTGTACGAATGTGGTATAATCATTGATTCGTTTATTATAGTTTCCTTGAGATGGAAGTAATTAAGTTTTTAATTTTATTGCATTGCATCTGCAGTATTCATCTGTCGAAGAAGCAAATGATACTAGAAATGCTTTGTACAATCTGCAATGGCCTACAAACGGAGGACGCTTACTGGTAGCTGAGTTTGTTGACCCAGTGGAAGTCAAAATGCACGTGGAGGGCCCACCTAAACTTCCACCCCCACCACCATTAAGTATGGGAGGGCCTTCCTTGACTGTTGTTGCTCTTCCTCCTCCTCCACCAATCACACAACAACAACCTTCATTGAGGCAACAGATTCAGAAAAAACAGCTTCAGCCCCTACCTCCTCCTCCACCTCTTCCTCTTCCTCCATCTCTTCCACTTCCACCACCACCACCACCATTGTTTAATCCACCCTCAGTTAAAGAGCGATACCCTTTGCCACCACTCCCGCCGCCGCCTCCACTTACTGAGAAAGTTGACCCTCCAACTGTAACATTGGATGATCTCTTCAGGAAGACAAAAGCAACGCCTCGTATTTACTACCTACCTTTGACGGACGAACAAGTTGAAGCGAAGCTCAAAGTGGCAAAAGGGAAGGGGGATACTAAGCAGTAGGGATTAGGCTCTTTACTCATTGCCAAAAAAAGCTCATCCTCTTCTATTTCTAAATGGATTGGTCTCATTACTACACGCGTAAGATAAAATGGTAAGACATTGTCATATTATTGAATCTTTGCAGGTGTGTGCAGGTCTTGCGTATAGGCTCTTCCAGTTATGGTGCAGGCGACGCTGGTTTGAAGATGGGTTTGTTGGGTTTTCGAAGGCCGTTTTGGTTTCAGATTGAATTATATCTTGTGCAACTTGCTTCTTCTCTGCCTAAGCAGATTTCTTTGTTTGAATTTGTACTGCTAGAATCTGATTTCTTGATGAGCTCTATTTCCAACAATCTGAAACTTGCGTGTACTTCAGGATGTAGACTTGTGACAGTGAACTTAAATTCTTGTTTGCCATTTTATCTTAGTAACCAAGCTGCTATGGATAGATTTATGAGTGGGTAGCAATATAAATGTTATGAAGTATGCCTTATAAAATCACATTTGTGGGTAGCAATAGCGACTTTGGGGGACAATATCCACATCCCATTTGAAAATGCATACGATTCAATTTTATTATGCGTTCCAAATATTTTTTTATGTGTACTTTTGACACAAATTTAAATTTTTTGTTTCGGTTTATGATATTTGACTAATATTATTTTTTAAATTCACTTTATATAAAAAAATGTTGTTGATTTTAAAAATAAAATTTATATCTTCAAAAATTACTTGTAAAATTATATTCCCTCCGTCCTAAAACTTTCTTCTCGGTTCGCAAAACGAAGAAAAATTTCATGTTTTTTCAATTTATTTTATTTAAATATTGGTATAGAAATAAAAAATAAAACATACATATTCAAAAGTTCAACAAAACAAGTGGTGACAAGAATATTTTATTTTATCATATAGGCCATGAAAAAACACAAATAAATATAAATTCCCGTGAAGTTGGAATAGTGTTCTGGGAAGAAAGTTTTAGGACGGAGGGAGTATAAAACAAGAGGTAGTATGATTATATTATTTTATCAAACAAGTATCAAAAATGGATAATAAAATTAATTAAGATTTGATTATGTGATCAACTTAAATTGAGATGGAGGGAGTATAAACAAAAAATTACTAAGAGGTGACATCAGTTTATTCGTAAAGACTCGCAGGTCTTTCAATTTTTGAAAAGTCACCATGGGGCCTTACATTTATTTGTAAGGACTTGGAAGACACTTTTCGGTACCTATATCAAACTGCCCGAAATGCCATGGTTAAATTTTGTGAAATCGTGATTCGTCACCATAATACTAAAGAAGAACCTCAAAAGAGATTGAACAATTTCAGATCCGAGCATGAATCTATTTTTCTTTGCTTTCTAATTTATCTTTTTTCAAAAGAGGTGTAATTAAACTAGCTAAGCTAAAAGTTAATTAACAAATCAAATAGCCCACATGTTAACAAAACAAATTGAGCCTTCTACCCCCTATGAACATGACCAATACCAAACCCTAGTGCAGTTACTTGCATTTGCTTCTTTTGATCCGTGCTGGAAAATGGAGACTGCAAGTACTATTGTTTGTTAAGGGCATAATGGAGAATATATTTTATTTAAGAAAATTGGATCTAAGCCGGCATGAGAAAGTGCCTTCCAGGCCTTTACAAGTAAATTTAGGGACCTGCTATGAGTTATTAAAAAATAGGAGGACCTACGAGTTTTTACGAGAAAATTGGCGTCACCTCATAGTAATTTTTTAGAGTATAAATTGTTGTTTTTATCATTCTGCTTGTGAAACAAATAACAATTTATGCTTTGAATATTGTTTACAATCAATAAAACGGCTGATTTCTCTATAAAACATTTGATATAAAAGAGACAAGAAAATGCGAGTTGGATATTGTTTACATCAAGTGCAATCACTCAATATTGGAGTAACATAAGAAATGGCTCTACCTCCTCACCCTCCATCTTTAGATGAATAGAGGGACTGTCTTCATAGTAAAGCCAAGACGCCCTGTTGTCCGATCAAGTTTCTCCAAGTTTTTCCAATCCAAAGACCATAGTGGATTGATTGTTCTCCTCTAACTGCAGTCATAATAGCTTTCAAGTCATCATTTTTCTCCTGAGGATGAAGTCTTTGAAGAAGAATGGCAAGTGATACATGATTGCTGCCATGGTTGAGTAATGTCCGGTTGAGAACCAAGCCGGGGGGTTTCTCTTAAGAAGTGCTTTCACGGTACGTTTCGCAAACTCGTCTGCAGGGGTCGCCTTTGGGACCTGTGAGAAGACTGCTCTTGCTCTTATCGCTCTTTCAAATTTCTTGTAGTATTTCCATTCCGGCATCCGATCTTCATAACTGACAATAGCTGAGTTCCCTATATTGGACTTCACAGCTCCAGGAACAACATTGATAACTTTAATCCCCAAAGGTCTAAGTTCCAGCCTGCAATACAATTAAAAAAAGGGGCAGTTTAAGATCCCCCCAAAAAAGGACAGTATAAGATCAATGTAGAGAGGTTATGCCACGTTGATAACAGTTCACTGTAATAATTTTTTACAATTCATTAATTGGCACTCTAAACTTGGTTCCATCAATCCCAACTAGTAGGGGTTAAGGTGCTGGTAATGGGGATGATGGTGCATTGGACTTATAGTTCAAAATTATAGGGGTGCAATTGGGGGTGCAAAATTTATAGTTTAAAATTATAGTTCAAATTAACTTGGGGGTGCAATTGAAGGGGGTGGGGGGTGTTTGGGTTGGGGCACGGTGGGGGGTTTATCGAGGGGGTTAGGAGGGGTATAGTAGAAACCGTCAATTTTACGAACGGGGCACCGGAGCACTCCGGGTCATGTCATGACATTGATTCCCAATGTCATGGGAACCAAGGGGTTATAAAAGTTAAATTACTATATACAGTATTAAATGTTTATTAATCTGTTTTCAAGCATTCTGAACCAGTCTCGTCCAGGTCCACCCAGTGAACCCCTATCCATCGTTCTTGCTTCAACAGGTTCAAAGGTTGTCTGGTTTTGATAACTTTAATTGGTTATAATGATGTTTTGAAAATATAAAGTGGAGGAGAGCACGTCAAAACAACCTCATGGTGTCTTTTGATGCATTTATGATAAAGTTGTCAAAGGTAGGACATGCTTACAAGGGGGAATGACTTAAACAGTAATTATACCTCAAAGTATCTGTTAGTGAATGTAGAGCAGCTTTGGATGAACTGTAAGCACCAGCCCATGGCCCAGATGCTAGAGCAATACAACTTCCAACATTAACAATCTTTCCCTCTCTCCTGGATGCCATGTGAGGAACCACAGCTTGAATTAACCTCATGCTTCCTACCCATAATAATATTACAAAGTCATAACGTCATTTACAAATCGAACAACACTCGTTTTTTTTCCCACTAACCAATGAAAGACATTTAAGAGCAAACATAATTTCTTTCACTGGTAAACAAAGTGTCATTAAGGACATCCTCTGTAATGGTTTTTTGGCTGATATAAACAAATGTTTGGTAACATCCATTTCAGCCAAATACTCAAGTCATAAGCTACTTATTTTACTTGTAAGTCGAATAAGTAAAATAAGCCAGTTATGACAACTGCCGGGTGCCTGCATTAGTGACATTTACACTCCGTTTGGATGGTAGGAAAGTAGAGAGAAAGAAAAGTTTAGGTGAGAAAATACACATTTCTATAAACAAATCTCTTGCTTGGTTTGCATAGAAAATAGTGAGAAAACAAAAAATCTCTTGTTTGGTTTGCAATCACCAACTTTTTTTGTCTCCATTTTCTCTCTCATTTTCTCTTCCCATCCAACCAATGGGTTAACCTCAAGTCCAATGTCAAATTCATTCTGGAAAAGTAATTTGATTATGCTAAAAAGATGGAATGCAGTATCAATAGAAACTCGTCTAGAAGAAGAACAAAAACGGTTACGGAGCATTCAACAATTAGATTAGATATTTAGATTGATAATCAAAACAGCTTACCGAAGACATTGGTGTCGTAGGTGTGTTTAATGGTGGACAAGGGGATCTCAGCGAGCGGCCCAACGCTCAGCACTCCGGCGTTATTCACCAGAACATCGATCCGGCCGAACCTCCGAAGAACGTCGGCGAGAAGAGTCGTGACTGAGTGATCGGACAGGACGTCGAGTTCAAGAGGGTAAAACCGCTCATCGTTCTCGAGATCCAACATCGAAGAGCGAGATCGGGCGGTTGGCACCACCAAGCAGTTGTTCGCGGCGAACTCGCGGGCCATGGCGTGGCCTATGCCGCCGCTTGAACAGCCGGTTATTACAACCACCACCGGCTTGCTGGCGAGCTCCATGTTTCTGTAGCGCTCAAGTGCAACTCTCTCCCTTCTCTAGTCTCTCTCTCTCTACTAGTGTTTGGACTTTGGATCTAGGCGTCGTCTTGGAAAACGAGTTACAAGAAAGCAGAAGCCTGCCTTCATCTTGGACACGTCAGTAAACTGTCCGGGGTGTAGGGCACCTCAGCTCATCTTGGAGACAAGGTCGAAAATCGAAATAAAAGCCTAGGGGTGGTTTCCTGGTTGGCACTTGTGTTTTTACCCACAACCAAAGACAAAACAGAAGGTAAATTAGCGGTTTGGTTCAGTTTGATTTTGCATAAAAAAAATATGTAAATCGTTCGTTATTTAGTTTGATTTTTTACGGTTTTTATTTCAGTTTTATTCGGTTTATAAAAGATGAAATTTATAGGCATTAAAAAAATGGTAAAGTACTAGCTCGATTTTTTGTTGGATTTTTACACAAAAACAAAAACTAAACGGAAGGTTATTGTTTCTTTTGTTTCAATTTTACATAAAAAATATGTGTTGAGTGCCCAACAAACATTTAGAAGATTCCAAATACTTCCAAAGACATCGTATGTAAAATCAATTATGAAGAAATTATTTTTTTTGGTATAATACTTTCATTTTCATTATAAGATCAAAATATTTTTATGTAAATATGTAAATTACTTGTATCAATTTTTAATGTTAATATAATTCTATATTAAGATTAGCTATTGGTGTTTATATTAGTTTTTTTTAAAGTTTATATTAATATGGCTAGAATGTTTAATTAATAGTTAAGAAAATAATTTTAATCGACTAGTAATTTATTTGCATTTATATTTCTATGATTTTTCTACATATCACATATATTCATATTAATAAACAAAGTATCTAAGAGAGTTCGGCTTATTCAGTTCGGTTTGGTTTTTCAAAGTAAAAAACCAAAACGAAATCAAACACTAACGATTCGGTTTGGATTTTTAAATTCGGTTTCGGTTTTTTTCTAGCTTGTTTCGATCGATTTCGTTTTGGTTTGCGGTTTTCGGTTTTCCCAGCCCTCCAAAGGCCTAACTTAGATAATTAATAAAGAGAAATTCTAGACTCAGAAATAAATTTTCACAAAATGCACAAACTTACCTAATATATAAAATAATGGTTTTAAATTATGGTCTCAAATAATTAAAAAATAAAATACATAAATAACAAGTGTGCATTTTGTGAGTGTTATGTTTGTGACTCTAGCATTACTCATAAATAAAACGATGAGTCTCATCCTAAGGGTTCTTTTAGATTCGCCCAGACGATCACTGAAAGAATATAAATTAGACTTGGATCATAGTTTGTGGAAAAGAGTGAAGCCTGCACTTCATATTTGCAAAAGACCTATACTTAGCATAGTTGTCTCCTAGCATAGTTTTTAGAAATCGAGCTGGAGTCTTACCCCTTAAGTACTCCTTGTCTTGCCAATTGTACAATGCCCACTGGCTAGATAATTAATTTCAATTAAGATAGGGGTGCACACAAAGTGTATGCCCCATTTGTACACCAACCAAACACACACATTAAGTGTCTGTGATCACAGATAATTAGTGATGGTGTAAATTACTTGACCGGTCAAACTATACTAGACCAGGTCTAGAATAGTTTGCTTGATTTGGCAAAGTAAGAAAGGTAAAAACACGCAGATTGACCGGTAGGACTTTAGGTGGAACACATGTAGCCCAATTTATATTATAACGGAGAATGCACGGGTGCTTTTACAAGAGAGTTTAGAGAGAGTGAATTCGGATCCCTCTTTCTGAGGTTTACATGAGTATTTATACTAGGCTAAGGGGACAGGACCACGTGCGCCCACGTGGAGGCACGTGTCTCGGATGTTGAGAGGTGATGGGCCTCGTCTCTTAGCTACCTTGTCGCCTTGTGAGGGGGATTATTCCCTTTGTCAGGTAGTGCCTTGGATGGATTCTTCAGAATCTCTAGTCGTCCTCTACTGACACGGGTCGCTACACGCCAAGCCCTCGTAGATTCTCCTCTGCCGACACTTTCCAACCTCAGAAACTACACCGGGTAATCTCCGAGAGGTGAATTCATCGAAGTCTGGAATAAATAGGATGATAACGTAGTTTGACCGGTATACTTTTTTGTGAAGTGTACCGGTCAAATTTTGGCCGATGACATATCGTTTTGCTGACGATTTAAGTCTCCCTTCCAAAACTTTCGAGATTGACCGGTCAAAGATTTGTCCTCCTCCTTTGACCGGTCTTGGGTGAAATACACCCATCAATAAGCCCNATCTCCAGTCGTCCTCTACTGACACGGGTCGCTACACGCCAAGCCCTCGTAGATTCTCCTCTGCCGACACTTTCCAACCTCAGAAACTACACCGGGTAATCTCCGAGAGGTGAATTCATCGAAGTCTGGAATAAATAGGATGATAACGTAGTTTGACCGGTATACTTTTTTGTGAAGTGTACCGGTCAAATTTTGGCCGATGACATATCGTTTTGTTGACGATTTAAGTCTCCCTTCCAAAACTTTCGAGATTGACCGGTCAAAGATTTGTCCTCCTCCTTTGACCGGTCTTGGGTGAAATACACCCATCAATTAGTGTCTGTGTTTGTCTGGTGAACAAATGGGGTACAACATTTTGGTGTACTCTAGCATGACCTACTTAATTTTCAACTTAGGTTTAACTATTGTTTATGTTTAAAACTAGTCTTTATCACATGTTTTGTACGTCCTTGCATAATTTTACGTGAAATATATCTATAAATTTAATGTTTATACAAAAAATTGAAATAAAAAATGAATAAAGCAATGACTTATAGATTTAATGCGACTGTGATGTGTGTGTAATTGAAATAAGAAACATATATCTTGGGTCTGTTTGGAAATAGCGTTAACGTTTTGGATAAAATTTTAACGGTGTAGATTACTTTGAAAATGCTAACGCTAAACGCTGGTCGTAAATAGCCTTTTCAAAATGCTAACGCTAATCTCTAACCCTATTTTCAAACAGCCCCATATAAAAACAATAATTTAATATAACGAAATGCTTGTGTTTTTTTACTCCCTCCGCCCAATTCAAATCGCTTGTTTCGGTTTACGATGTTTGGCTAAAGTAATTTTCAAATCATTTTATATGAAAATGGTGTAGAATTAAATAATAAAAATTGCATATTTAAAAAACCACATCAAAAGATCTACAAAACTAGTTGACAATATTAATTTAGTAAATGATTAATGAAAATAAGGAAAAAAAGTGAATAAAGTTTGACCCTGTGGACTTGACACAATCTAACCATTCAAACGAAAATGTTTAGAATCAATAAATCATGTTGTTTTTTCATGAATCATTTTGAATGTGTACAATTATTTCAACTAGCGTATTCCCTTGTGATGTGTGTCATCAACTCGTCTACTCAAATAAAAAAATACTAATAAAGGTGTTAGTCGTTGTGCCCACGCCTTAGAAAGGGGGGGGGGCGAATAAGGCGTTTGAAAACTTTTCGGAGTTTAATAAAGATGATGTTGGCAAATGCAGAAGCAATATATAAAATGCAGAAATAAAAGCATAAAAATAAAATGCACACCGATTTTATACTGGTTCGGGAACTCCCTACTCCAGTACCTCGAAGCTCCTTCTCAAGGATTTGCAAATCCACTAAGTCCTGGTCCCTTGAACTCCGTCAAAACACCACACTAGTTTGAAAAACAATCCCTGCCAATAGGATTCATTCCGACATTTCACAACGGCTATCTCGAACCGCTTACAATGAAGATTTCACGGATATTTTTGACTATTCCCCCAAGGATTTCAAAGGCTATCCTTGAACCTTAACAAAGGATTTATACAGCTATCCTTAACCGTTACAACTTGAGAATTTAACGGCTATTCTCGACCGTAAGAAATTGTGTTTGAAAAACACAAGAAATGGTTCTACACAATGGCTTGAATACAAAATTGAAGAACAAAACTTTAGCTGATGTAGAAGGAAAACTATACTCTCTCAAAAGATACAAAATAAACTTATGAATATGAGAGTATATAACAAAAACACAAGCTCAAAAGTGTGTATAAAATCAAGAGATTGAAGCTTTTGAAATAGCCAAAATATTGAAAATAAAGAATAAAGGAATGAACACACTTAAAATATAAAGAAATGATGTTTGGAGCTTTGTTTCTTGTTAAAATATGAAATATTAGGCTTGTATTTATAGTGGAAGGTGTTAACTAGAAGTTGAGAGGTGATTAGAGTTGATTAATCAGAAACCCATTATGAACTCGTTCATCATAATGGCCCTCATCATAGTCCAGAGATTGTTGGGATCCATGAAGGGGGTTCTGCCACCGGACATCTCACCAAGCTTGAAAAGCGGTGAGTTGATGTCACCAGTTAGCATCATCCCCGTGTCGCGAATCATTCCTCCAGGCTCCTGGGCCACCATACCAGCCTCTATGGCGGCCTTGGCGGGTATTTTTCGGATATGATGTCTGAGACCTTCCCCGTCCATCGTTTTCCATTGCGGAACGCGTTGACGGAGGTCAATGGTGTGTTGGCTAGTGACATCGTTCAACCTGATTTCTAATTCGTCCTAGCACGTGCTAGTAGGTGCCGTCATAGTTTTTTCTAATGCCACCACTGTTGGCGGCAGCAGAGGACCTTGTGACTCTTCTAAAAGCAATCATTTTCGAAAGAGCATGCTTGATGTGTTCGAAGCTCTCAATGAAAGTACCAATGATGAGTTTATGAATCCAAGGACCTCGAAGACTAGGTGGGAGAGTATCGAACAAGGGTTGATTGTCTTTTTCGAGTGCAAGAGTGCAGAGTGAGTATATTTGTTTGATAGTGAATGTGATGTCCTTTCTCCAAAGTGGGAGAGGTATTCATACAACACATTTGTCCTATACATGTGACTCCTAGCCGTTGTTTAGGACAAGACCTATTGAGCCAAAGCCCACTGGATCATATCTTTGACTGATAACACAAGGGATGTAATTACAAATAGTATAGTTACAAATGATGTACATACGAGCAGAATCAGAGATGCTCTTGTGTGGGCCAGTAGAGTGGACAATGCGTACAGGATCCCCTGTCGCCATTATCGGTGATAGGCCTGCCTTGCTTTTCTGGCAGCAGGGGTTGAGTACACGATTCTATCGTTGGATGATGTCCGAGTAAAGATCTGTCTGGATCCGCCCTTGTGTCCAAGCTCATGAAGTCGAGCTGAGTGTAGACGCGTTTCTTGAGAGCTTGGTTTCCTTTAAGTCTCGCTCAGCTAAGTAAGACGTTTTGGTCGGGCGCGTTCGATTCTTGCGATTAGATGGGCCTTGCATTGGGTCATTATTATTTTGTTGGGCTGGATACCCCGAGTTTAGGATATCCATCAGGTCCTTTTATTTTCAAGAAGATAACAGAGATTCTCACATTTTGTCATAATGACTGGGAAGGGGCATTACGTCCAATACTTCATCCATAAGTGTTAATAAATATATTTTTCATATTTTTCCCTTAATATTTTATGGTAATAACTCTTTGGTCTCTCACTTTTTGGTTTCTTTGTTTTTCTTTTTTCTTTTTTGTTACTCTTTTTTTTCTTTCAAAAATTTCTTCTATAAAATTGTACAAAAAATTCTAATTGTTTGTATGATATAAAAATAAATGAAATAAAAATATTTCCTATAAAAGAAAAGACTATGTAAAATTAAAAAAATTAAAAAATAAAGCAAAATATTTTTCGTAGAAAGTCCTCAAGATTCTTTTTTACTACTTTGTACGGAATATTAAAAAAAATCAAATTTTATTTTTAATAAGGTTCTTATTTAATTTATTTTTATATCATACAAAAATTTGAAACTATTTTCTAGAACAATTTTTTTTTTAAAATCTTTATGAAAAAGGAAACAAAGTGAACAAAAGGAACAAAAAAAGGAAACAAAGAAATCCAAAAAGTGAGAGACCTAAATATTATTGAATTACTATAAAACATTATTAAAAAATAAAAAAAATATTTATTAACACTAATGATGAAATATTGGACAAAATGTTCTCTTCCGATTAGTACAACAAAATTACAAAATTAAGGATTCTATCAAATTTTTGAATGGAAAGTTATTTCGATTTGTGGGCTTTTTTTTAAAATATAAATCTTTTCACCGGGCCTGCCTTCATAAGCAAGCCATAGATCAAAAGTCTGGTAGATTTGAGATTTCTCTCCACAACCCGAAAGGCCGAAACCCTAGACCGTCTTTCTCTCTATCCCATGGCGAAGAAGGAGCAGCTCAAGAAGCGAAAGCTCATCAAGAAATCAGAGGCATCCAACAGTCGTGACAAGAGATTGAAGAAGAACAATAACAGTAGGAACGCCAATTTCTCCCCACCGGAGTCCGATTCCGAATCTTCGCTTGACGACATCCAAGCCCTCCTCGAACCCTTCTCCAAAGACCAGCTTATCGCCCTCGTAGTGGATGCTTCCCTCCACCACCCCATCCTCATCTCCACCATCCGCTCCGTCGCCGATTCTGATATCTCTCACCGGAAAATTTTTGTGTTCGGCCTCGGCTACGACTCCACCCGTGAAACCCTCCTCTCTGTTTTCCAGCGTTATGGAGAAATTGAGGACTGCAATGTTGTCACAGACCGGGTCACTGGGAAGTGTAAGGGATATGCTTTTATCGCCTTCAAGACAAGGAAAGCCGCTGCAAAATCCCTAAAAGAACCTAAGAAGAAGATCGGGAGTCGGGTTGCCTCGTGCCAGCTGGCTTCTTCTGGGCCTGCTGCTCCCGGTTCCACTCAGCAGGATGTGAGTGGTCGGAAGATTTATGTGAGCAACGTCGGGCAGGATACGGATGCAAGTAGGTTGAGGGACTTCTTTTCTAAATTCGGGGAGATTGAGAGTGGTCCTTTTGGGGTTGACCCACACACTGGGAAGTGGAAAGGGTATGCCTTGTTTGTGTACAAAACCACAGAGGATGCAAGGAAATGTCTGGAAGATCCCTACAAGATGTTTGAAGGACGGCAATTGCATTGTGAGAAGGCTGCAGAAGGGAAAGGTGTCGGCAAATCTGGAGGGGCGGCGGGAATCACTACAGCTGTGGTGAACCAGCCGTTTCAGGCAATGCAAGCAGCACCAGATATATTGGCTGCCATGGCTGCTGCCCAGAATATGGCACTTTTGGGTCAGAACCCGGCTGCAGCTTTGTTGAATCCATTGTACAGCCAGTTGATTGGAAATGCCAACTTTGGTATGTTGAACCCAGCAATGGGTTTGAGCCAAGCAGTGATTGGTTCAGGTCAAGCTGGGCAACCTGGCATGGCAGCTGCTGGTTATGGTACATCAATTGGGGGTCTTGGAGGGAATACCTTAGGGATGCTAGGATCATTTGGCATGCCAAGTGGGGGGATGCCACTAAACTTAACAAATGCTTATCCTAATTTGCAAGACAGGCAGATTTCAGCATCTGCTAAGGCTCCACGTAGCAGTGGCTTTTCTTCTCATCACATTGGTATGCCATTATCTACTTGACAGTCACATAATTATTTGCTCTTAACAAAACTTCATTATTTTAATTGCCTAATAAGAAAAGAAAAGGGAGTATCTTCGTGCAGGCAAGATGATTTCATAATTTAGTGATGTATATTAGTTTCTTTGCAGTTGAGGGAATGCCAAAACAAAAATCATAGCGTTTTTTTTGTGGATTTACATTACTCTGCATTCACAACATATAATCTCCAATATTACAAGTCAATAATACTAGTAAAAAATCCATCCATGCATTCTTGTGATGTTTGTAAAAGATTCGGTATTCTCTATTAGTTCACATCTATAAAAAATGTTTCTGCTTTTTTGGAGACAGATGAAAGACCATATGATTTTTAGGGAGCTGTCGTGCTAGAAATGGAAGACAAATGGCTTCAAAAGGGTAGTGCCTTCATTCATTTTCTCATCTTTTATTTATCAATGAAAGTATGAAATGAGTTTGTCTGTTCCGGATGACTCTGTATAATGATACTCCGTAATTTATTTAGTACAGTGGACGAAGAGATTAAATTTACTTATATTTCCTTTATTTTAACAATTCTGTTTACAAATTCCTCCTAATGTTGTGTTTTCATCCACTAGTTGCCTGCAATGACCAATTGCCTTCTCTAAGAGTGCAGCCTAAAATCTATTAGGCAACATAAGACTGTTTATTAGGAAAAATTCATATTGTATCACTTCAGACATTTTGTATATTTTATGCCAGCCTTGAAATATTTTATTTCAAAGAAAGTTGAGTTTTCATCACCTTGAATTGCAAGTTAATTGAGCGTCTTTTTCTTTTTTGCAGATCAGTTTTAACTCGGACCAAGAATACATAATTATTCTTGTTGCTTGAACGGTTACTTTTGATAAGTGCCTTTGGTTGTGGCAATTGAATCTGAAAGCCATGTGCCCTTTCTAGTTAATGTTTTTTATCAACTTTGTTGATCTTTCTAAATTTTCTTTTTAAGATGTATTTCGTGTATACTTGTTGCTTTATAGAATTACTATTTTGTATTTTTACATCTATGAATCTTTATTTTAAAGTTTTTTGTTCTTGTGGATTGCTATTGTTTTTCTGGATTCTTGATTTCGCTATCCTTAATTTTGTTTTGCTCTTCATTTTTCATTTTTGTTCTTTCATACATGCATTTACGCTGATAGTATTACTCCCTTCTCACTTTCCATTTGTTGATATATCTGAAAAGAGATTTCATGGCTTATGGTTTTTTTGGACTGTGCAATTTTAATGTATATTCTGCAACTAATTTGCAATTTATTCTATTTGTTTCCTTCTCTTTTTCTTCTTCTTCTACTTCTTTTTGCAAGGAAAACAACTTATAGCTCAATGTATTTCATACATTAGGCATCTATTTAAGGTATGTTAATTGTAATCACCTAAAAGCTTTGAATAGATCTGAACAATATCCCCACCACTTGAAATCTTCTATCTTTGTCAGGTGTCATCATTTTTAAAAAACCCCTATTGTTCTTTCACATAAATGCTTACAGAGTATCTTGTTACCTTATCTGCAAGCCTGCAATTTGCTAATGATTTGGTCGAGTAGTTTTAACTCACGAGTCACGACTCTTCTAGTTAGAGTAGGGAGTTGGGTGTCAAGGGGGGGTAGTTCATGCAGGGGTGTGACTTTTTCTGTGGGCTGGTTATCGTTCATCCTCTTTCTTTTTCTGTATTTCTTTCTTGAATAGTTCATCTTTCGACATCTCATTGTCTTACTTAACATCTTAAGTTGCATTGAATTGAGGGTCTTGCATTCAAAACCTTACCATGTTTTTGTTGTGAATGAAAGACACCATGTGATTACACTATATCTTGTGCATTGCAGTTCTTTTGCATATTCATATCTTTTTTTCTTGGCACTTCAGGCTTTTGTTTCTATGCATTTTCACTCTTCTTTTGTCTAGTTTTTGAGTTTATCTTTATACTCCATATGTTTTTTCGGGCCTTGATTTCTTGTTTATTGTATACATCAGTTTTTTTGTATTTTATATGTTCATTACTCCATTATATACATACACACACAGACACACACAGATACACACACACACAGCCTATGGATCTTGGTGAAAGAAATAAGAATAAAATCTAACCTATGGATCTGATGCATCGTGCGGCTCAGATTGCATCTTGCTCTCAGATTTTGAGATAGTGCATTTTTAAAGAATTTTGATGCATTTCGACATGACGCATTTTCAAACCATTTTGGTGCTCCTAATTTTGATGCAATCCCGACCCTTAGATCTCACAATTTAAAGCACCATATTCATTCTTATTTCTTTCATAAGATCGTATTCTAACCAGAACCTATATATATATATATATATATATAGGGAGCGTCTAAAATGACACCAGTTACTTATACACTAGTTGCTTACACCAGTTCGTTTGGGGTGCCTACGGTGCTCCGTTTGTAAAAACGACGGTTCCTACCCCCTAACCCTCCCCCTAAACCCCCCATCCCAGCCCCACCCTTGCCCCCCCCCTTCCCGCCCCCCTCCCTACCCTGGCAGTATACCCCCAGGGTAGGGAGGGGGGCGGGAAGGGGGGCTGGGGTGGGGGGGCAAAGGTGGGGCTTGGGTGGGGGGTTTAGGGGGAGGGTTAGGGGGGTAGGAACCGTCATTTTTACAAACGGGGCACTGTAGGTACCCCAAACAAACTGGTGTAAGCAAATGACACCAGTAGCACTGGTGTCATTTTAGACATATATATAAGTTGTACTCAGTAGATTCTTGAAATGAATTATTATTTTTAATTTTCAACTATAGATTGAAAATCGGCAAAGTCAATTAAGTTGAACCGTGGTTTGAAAAACAAATAAATAAATTGGGCAAAGGCAATTAGAATGTTTTTAACCGATATTTGTCTAGTTTTGTTGTTTCCCAATGCATTAGATGTTCCACCCCACCCCCACCTTACATATGGATGAACATATCAAATTTGGAATTTCCTTGTAGTAGGTGCTTTTTATATAAAGGATGAAACTCCATCCCCGAGTACCCCTCAATACCGGCCGAACAGTAAGTTGATAGTAGGAGGCAAATTAATCTATGATTTCAATTAATTGACATAAGAGTGGGGTATCGTGTTTAGTACTTGCAGAAACTTCATGTTTTGTATGGTTACCTCTCATTGCACTCTTATCCCAATCGTTGAGTTATGCCTCACCGGCAAGCACTTTTTTAGTGTTATTTTTGTACACTTTTTTTTGGAAAAAAAATGTTTTAAGAAAGAGATGACCTGAGTATGAATCAATAAAGAGTTTCCTATCTGTCTTAGGCATCTATTACTGACTGTTATTATGATTGATTTTTGTCTCCTAGCTTACTGCTTTACTGTTGAAACAATAAAACTAAGGTTACGTTCTCTTCACGTTTTACTGATTGAAATAAGTTTTAATCTGAATCAATGTATATTTACAGTTATTTTTGATCTATTTTAATCTGATTCTAATAATAATAAGTGATAAGTAAAAAATTAGCTTGAGAAAAACGTGAGCTTAGTAGTTGTGAATTTTTAATGATTGATTAACGATGCAACACAATTGGACTAGATGATTGCCTAAGTTCTTAGCCGGATGGAATTATGCATCATACTGTTTATTTTGTGAACGTAGCCCAAAAGTTTTGGGTGAACCACATTAAATCTTTGGTGTCCTACTTTGCTCTATATTTTTACCTCCTAATATTATTATCTTTCGCTGTGCGTCCATACAAGTTCAATCTTGGGCAGTGAGGGCCATGTCCAATATTGGGGCAATGGAGGTAAAGATGAGCAAAATGATCAATTTGAACGGTTTGAATTATCATATCTGAAGTAGCAAGATGAAGGATCTTGTCACAGTCACCATGCTGTACTTGCTGGTATTTTATACTGTCAAACTTGAAAAGATGTGTGACAAAGATTGGGAGTTCGAGCATGAACAAGTTTTTGATGATCTGAATCTTTGTTGATGTTAACATTTACAATCATATTTGTAACGAAACTCATGCTAGAACTTTGTGGGCAAGCTGGAGCTGTTGTATGGTTCAAAGACCGGCAACAACAAATTACTTTACTTGATGCAGCTCGTGCAAGTAAAATATGAAGAAAACACTCCTGTAGCTGATATTAACTTCACTACCAGAGTCATGAGAAACTCTAAAGGTGTCTTTGACAAATCCTGCACTAAATGGTCTAGTGAGTGTGGAAGCTGCTAAGAGCAGTATCTTTAATGAAGAGATGAGACGTGGGTCTTAAGGTTTAAGCTCTTCCTCACCATCAGAAGTTCTGGTTATTAAGAGTGGGAAAAATCAGTTTAACACTTCCAGTTCTAAAAACGGAAGCAGAGGGAAATCAAAGAAGTATGCTAACGTCAATTGCCATTACTGCTAGAAGAAAGGATACCTCAAAAGGTTTTGCTGAAACATGACGCACAATTATCTTAACCAAGGCAAGAAGGGGGAGTTGGGTAGTGATGGTGAACGAGCGAATCTTGCCGAAGATTTCAACGCTAGCCGTGACAATGAAATTGTGTGTCAATTAACCCGTGAGGCAGGTTGGGTAAATGATGAAGTTCTGACAAGAGTACCAAACTCAGTTGGAGATGAAGTTCATGATGACCATCTACAAGATACAGATGATGGATGTATTTCCCACAAAAATGAAGCAGAAAAAGAGAATGTTGGTGGTGGTCACACTAAGCCACCAACATCTGGAGAGTCTCTAGTTCCCTTAAGAAGATCTAGTAGAAATATGCAGCTTTCTACTTGATACCCAGCTGATTAGTGGGTTACACTGATTGAAAGTGGAGTACCATATTGCTTCAATGAAGCTAAGGATGTGAAGACTGCCTTCCTACATGAAGATGAGGAAGAAGTTATTCTACCAAAAGAAACGTTCTACCAATCAGCCACCGCAATGATGAAGCGTTCCGATCGGGAGGTGGAGATTGTTGGGTTGGGTCCCTCCAAATAAAGGACCTACATTCCATTCCTAAAGCTTATCAATTTGGAGAAAGAAAAGTTAGATTTGGCCTTTGACCAAACGGTTGGTGGCATGCAGAAGGAAGTCAAATTCTATTTGGGTTGAACATTGAAAAGTCTAAACATGATGATGAAGTTCAAACTTGGCCGCTAACTTTGCATGGCAGCAACAAGATGTGGAAGCCAAAACCAATTATGGCCATGTAAAATCTTTGGTGTCCTACGTTTCTCTCTATCTTTACCCTCTAATTTATTATCTTCCACTACGCAACCCAATAAAAAATATAGGAGTGAGCCCTCCATAGAGAGTTGTTTTATTTCTTCTTATACTAGAAATGTACTCCGTAATTTTCTACCAGTAAACTTGAAATATTTCTCACTGGGCCCACTTGATACTAACAAGTGCTTCTTCTTGGGCTCGCAGAATCACAATGTACCCAAGGGATATGCTTGCTTAAAGAAACAAAAAAGAGATGTAGGTGAAGCGAAAAAGTTATATTAATAAGATGGAGTATACAAAATACAAATTTGGTGTAGACAAACTCAAAAGTCAAAACCCTTGACACAAATGTTTCATTGGTAAAAAGAAACACAAGTCAATATTCTTGTGACTCAAGAAAAAATAATACCCCAAATGTTTCACTCTAAAAACAAACACAAGTTTGCAAACTTTTGACTCAGGAAACAATATTATCTCACAAAAGGGCTCTCACACACAAACACCAAATGAGGCTAAAAATTTAGTGTAAAATCACTAAGTTATATCCCAAAAATCTCTCTGAATGGACTTATAGAACTTTTCTTAGTTTCCACCATAATCTCAAACTCTCACCGAATATGGTATTATTGAACTCTTTTGAGCTCCCCCCCATAACCTCTCCATTAGATGGAGGGTATTGAGTCTAACCCTAAATTCTCACATGGATATATTTCAAATATGGAGACCAATTTTTCTTTATATAGACCCATATCAGCCACCTCAATTCCACCCCCTCATTCATAAAGCTAGTTGTCATTTGCCAATTCAGACTTTTGCTACAAGTTGTTATAACCTTATCCAACATGTGATCAATAATCAAACAAAAGTTGGCAAATCC